GATTAGTTTAGCATGGTACATATGATGACTCGCTGAAATCCTTCCGTAATGATGAAACGTCTGGAGATCTCGCTCTGAAATATATCAAGACAATTGCCGGTTATGTGAAGTCGATAGCTAAAGATGTGCGGTGAGCCTTTACCTTCAAGTATTCAAGAATATGTAATTAATTCCCTCTGAACCTACAATGAGCCGTTAATTGACGGGAGTTGATCGGAATTGTGTAGGATCAAGGAAATCTTGGATTGAGAACGTGTGTCCGTGGGGATGTGTCGTAAATATAGCAGATAAACTCGCAGGATGTTTCACGAGTTTGTATATGCGATTTGGAACAGAATTGAAATAATGGCCACACTCAAAAACGCACATAGAAGACATGCCAATGGAATGGAAACATAGCGTTAGAAAACGTTCACATATACACCGAAAAGAACAGGAGAGATAAAATGAACTAAAGAACTAGCGTTACCTCGTAGCGCCCTTTGCGGAGTAAATGATTTTTGGTGTGAGACAAAGGAAAGATTAGAAAATTACGTGGACATTTCACTACAGTCTGCCTGCATTGTCCAAAACCTTACTATAATGGCGGCATTCAAAAAGACTCAAAAAATACGTACGAAACAAAACTAAACCCTTATTGAACTTATGAACACGTCATAATCTAACATCTAACACCTCATAATAGTCCTTATCAGCTGTTGTGAAATTTTGTCACTGACCAAATCCGTTACAGTCCCACATATTATATGTACAATTCATTAAGATCGACTCCTGACGAGAGCTGATCCGCGCGCTATGAATTTCGCAATGAACACACGTACGCACACACGCACACTTAGAAACACACACGAACAGACAAACTTAGCGAATCATATATGGCAGGAATTATATGAACCACAACCTTAGTGTGTCGGTCTGTCTGTGAATTTGCCTGTCTGTCCGTCTCGCAAAATGAAGTGAGTGATAAGGTAGCTAATGGAAAAAGGCCGCCAACAATTTGGGTAGCTCGCAGGGCTTGCCCTATCAATGTTTTGTAATGGCATTATTGTGATAACACCCCAATAATCCCTACTATATATAAAACGGTATATCTGTCTGCTTGTCATGAAATTCATGGCACACGTCGCAGCAATGGTGGGACCTTGCTTTTTACACGTGTTATAGGAGGCTGGGCGGGAACACAGATGGTGGGTGATCCAAAATTGATAACAACTGATAAAGGCTGACTATCACCAATTTATCGTCTCGGCCGCCCATTATGACAGTAGATATAGAAAGCTATAGAAGATAATCTTAGAAAACGTGTGTGTATAAACAGAACGACACGAGCACCTGCGACAACGCACCGCAAGCTAACTCGGTGGGGTGAAACAAGAAGTGGTAAGGAAGACACTTAGACACTCAAGGACTGATAGGTCCCCAAACGATTAAGAAAATTGTAGAGAGAAAACACTTGCAAATTCACTACATCATCTCGTGCGGCCTGACACGCCCACCAACAGCTCAAGCGAACAATTCAACACTAAACAAAAACAGAATAAATACATAAAATAAATATAGAGATAATTAACAGGTGCCAATAATAATAAATTTCTCAAAAAATAAAAAAAAAAAAAAAAAAAAAAAAAAAAAAAAAAAAAAAAAAAAAAAAAAAAAAAAAAAAAAAAAAAAAAAAAAAAAAAAAAAAAAAAAAAAAAAAAAAAAAAAAAAAAAAAAAAAAAAAAAAAAAAAAAAAAAAAAAAAAAAAAAAAAAAAAAAAAAAAAAAAAAAAAAAAAAAAAAAAAAAAAAAAAAAAAAAAAAAAAAAAAAAAAAAAAAAAAAAAAAAAAAAAAAAAAAACACAAAAACCACAAACACTAAATATAAAGATTCCATAACATGAAATTCTTCACTCGGCTCAGCGGGGTTGTGTGTTAAGTGATAGATGGTGTATGACCGGATATTCATAACTTCCCTCCTTTTGACCACGAGAACTATAAAAAAAATGTAGGATATATGGGGGGCTGGCTACAACACATAGATAGTGGGATGGGAGGGAAATGATAAAATATCTAATGAATAGAAGCTGAATAAAAGGCACGCCTAACACCGAAAAAGATGATGGATCAAATCAATATTAATAACTTACAGCAACCAAACCGTAAATTGCGTTGAACGTGAGACAATATAATGGCCAATCAATAAAAAAGCATGATGATGTGGAAGAGAAGACAGCAGGACAAGACTATCTGAGTCGACACGATGTGACTACGCAATGAGAATAAAAAACCACTGATAGAGGCGATAAAAGATGATACGACAGATACCCACCCAGTATTTCGTGAATGCAGGCCCTACGAGAATTAACATTGAAGCCTTGCTCTCAAAATTGTGGTAATCTGGGATGGGACGGAAAACGGAATAGTGGATGAACTAGAGACTGATCAAACCGCGAATAAACCACGGATTGAATCAAGGAAAGCTCAGCCACCAAAGATTATTGAGGCACCCGCCTAATCTTCGTTAAACCCGTTCGTGTCTAGACACTAAATCACAGAGCTATCATAACTGCAACGATATGCATGGAGGTGGCGATGGGAACCCCGATAACTGCGCGCATCAAATGAACTGAGATAAGCAAAATGCGAAGGAAATAGATATGAAGAGGAAACTACTGGGAATGCAGGATCCCCTTTCTCTCCATTTGTATAATAATTATCACTAGGCCCACGCCCGCCACTCAGGTGGGAGCGGTTGAAAAATATGGCGAACGAAAGTGGATCATGACGCGCGCAACTGTACTGATCAAAGCGAGTAGCCAAATTGAGCGTCCCCCGCGCTCAGCATAACACAAATTCACAAACACACTAACAAGTCCTAGCACGTGAAATATGGTCGCAATTCTATCTTTATCATCCCAAACAGAAGAATAAGAAGCAATAGGCAAAGCTAATTGCGGGCTAATACTCAAAACTTACTTCATAGATATTTATATCACACAAGCCGAAATCTTCCCTTATAATGGCAATTTCACATCATAGCTGGGAGCCACGCCGCCGATTGAAATCCTGACTTGATTGGTTATATTTCACTTGAGATTCTTCAGCCTGTGGATTTTAATAGAACCGCTAAAATCATACGAAGCTCGACCATCATATAGCTCGGACTGCTTAACAACGAATTCATGTAAAGTAATGCCTTTTCCTCATATCCCAGCCGCCTACAACTAACAACACGAAAAATACTCGCGCGATTAGCGAAATCCCCCTCTCTTCCTCCGCGGAAATTGACAACTTTGAAACGTTAATGGGACCCCACCTGTCCAATATCTGACACAGATTTCCTCAAGCCACGGTGACATAATATGAGTCTACAGTTTGTCCAGTTTCAGTTTCGCCTCATGTGATGCGCGTTGCGCAGTGCGGAGCTACGTGGATTCATAGAATAATGGTGGACAATCAGATTCCCGCTCGCGATTGAGCACTTTTTCAAGTCCATTCCAATACCACTAGCAACAAGACCAATTCGACCGCTGAACTGACAGAATTCAATACCGATGATGAGTATATTTACGAAATCATCATAAGTACTATGTAGTTTACCTCCGCAGGCTATTGCGCGCATTACTTCATAGGCTACACTAGGAAGCCTGTGGATTGTCAGTCCACTCATTTTGTCGAACGTACTACTGGATGCGTTAGCTGAGTGATCAAACGCTACACATGCTCTCCAGCTTCACTGCGGCCACTTGTGGTGCGCGCAAAACTGGTACTATAATAATGTGATACCATAACATCCTTCCATTGCTATACAAGCACCTTCCTAGCACACTTAACGTCATTCCATAAGGTGCTGCAGTGCCAGCTGGAGAGCAATGGAAGGAGGAGGGGGATTAATGAAAGTAAGGCAGAACGCTTATGGCAGAAGAGGGAGGTGTACGTTGTTGCGCAGAGCGCTAGTTTGGTAGTTATTCTGCTCGGAACATAGTGATAGAAGAGTTTCATGGATATCGACGTCACATGGACAAAAATTTGATCCTATTCCTGAACTGCGCGTCGCCTTTGCAATTATTCTTTGCTACTGCGTCGTCTTTGCTCATTGAACATCGTTGAAGTCGCGATGAGGAATCATCTTGAGCTGCTATACTACAATATTTCAGAATTCTTGCATGGCACGGTATGCTCAAGAAGTTCTCAGACGCAGAGATCAAAAAATATGAGATGGGTGATGTGCTAGAATTGGTAATCTGGGACTATTCGGAAACACCTAGGCCACGTGAGCATTTTGAACAATAAAGGATTACTGAAGCTAGAGGTGTAGTGTGCTTCGCTATTCTGGAAGTGCATAACAGCTGCGCCAGTCAATATGATTTATTATGCTTGATGATTATGCGCAAAGATGAGACTAACCGAACGCGAAAACCAGGAGGGAAGACAAGAGTTTCGTCTTGAAGGTTTTATGCGCTTTTCTCAGTTTTTATTTACTGTTGCGATCCTCAGCAGCTTCTCTTTTGAAACGGTTGAAACAGACCACCAGTTATCTCGAAGCCCCTCCATAGTACCCACCAGGGTGAATATTGCTTGAGGATTCCTCAACGGCACGTCGAGGATTTTCGCCTGATCCTTTACGTTCTCGCGCGCGGATATTCACTCTCGCCACCCGCGAGCCGTCTGTGCTCTCCGCGCGTACACTATCGGCTCTACTCTCGCACAGCAGAGAGCGATGGTCGAGGAATTCCTCGACCGTTATTCACCCTGCTACCCACTACATAATTATTCCACAGCAGTCTTTCATCTGTTCTGGTTTCTTTGTTTTAGACGAGTCGTTTCTCCACATGCGAAGGCTGTTTCCTAATCTATGGGCGTCATCAGCATTCAAAGGTGCCGACTTCTCAGCTGCCACATTTGCCAACTTCCAGCATTACGAAACCAACAACCTCAATTGGCTTCAAGAAATCAGGGTTAGCTTTGTCAAGTGTTTTGCTTACCAAGGAGTGTCGTTAGGTCGGTGCAACCTTTGTGTTTGACAATGCGAAGCTTGCTGCACACTATGTTGTGCGCAAGACAGCACCAACTATTCTCTAAAATAGTCTTGCGAAGTCATCCGACGATGGCGTGAGCTTAGAATACCCATTTTTTCCAAATGCAGCCAATTTCGACCGAGCGCGCATTATTTTATCGGTATAGCTCCGATTGCTATCCGCGCGCATATTCACTTAGATTTCATTGGAACTGGCATGGTCTGCCTTCTGTATAAGCAGCACGCTGCCTTCAGTCGAACTGTCTTAAACGAAATGTAACAAAAAGCCTAGTGGTTCAGTAATCCCCGCAGATGACATGTACCCATGAACACTATTCTAACACTAACATTTTTTTCCAAAACTAATGTAGTATAGCGACCAAACAAGCTTCTATAGAGTACTTGATCTATTTACTATCAACCATAACTATTATTTGTTAATACCACCCATCACACTATTCGCAGAAACCCAGCATTACTTCAGCGTTGGATAATTTCTAAGCG